CCCCGCGGTTGCCCGGCAACGCGGCCGCGAGTCGCCGCAGGGCCCCTCGAAGGAAAAACCTCTCTGCCCCGGGCTTCCCGTGCTTATGACAAAACCACCCCCCAGCACGCCAGACCATCTTGAGTTAAAATAAAGAAAAAAAAAGTCCTCCATGGGAAGCAGGCGCAAAAAAACAGGGAAAATTATTCGTTGCAGAAAACCCTCATCCATTCATTCCCCCCCCCGGCCCGGCCCGGGTCACCTGCACGTGCGTTCTCCCTGACTGGCTTTCTTGCCTAGCGCTGTCACCGCTCCGTGGCCGGCCCTGCCCTGCCCACAAAGACCTGTTCCAGTTATTGGAGTTGCTCTGATACAAGATATCGGATTTACCCAGAGAATCCCGCCTGCCTCATTCACAGAAACGCACTCTGAAACCGCGTCCAGGTCCAGTCAGAATACTTCACTAAGGGCAGGGATTCTCCGCCTAATCACTTTTAAAACAAACAGGCATCTGAGAAGGTAATGTTGCTGAACGAGGCTGGCCATCTAATCCCTTCGCCACCAAATACATCATTTAAAACATTTATTTATATGATAACCTCCGTTGATGTACAAAACATTGTCAATTTAACTGCTAATAAAAGAAGCGCGGTACATAAAACAAAATTACAAACAATTTCATTTGCGTGTTCTTCTCTCTCTCAGCCCAGCAGGCTTGAATGCTATGATTGGAGTTGGTCAAAAGTCAAATTGAATTTTCTGTTCTTTTTCGAAAGTCATTTAAGGCCTGATCCTTCTTTTGTTCCACCCAATACTACCACTGGATACACGAGACTACAGGACAAGAGGCCATAAATAATGCAGGTCTTTCAAGCCCTTGTCCAAGCTTCACTTCCCAGAGGTGGACAGGAACGATTCAATATCTTGGATGGCTTTAGAAGTTTTGTCCAAAGCCTCCAATACGTTGTTTTTATCAATTTCTTCAGGTAAGCTGATGTTTTCTGGTAGTCTGTCGGTAATGCGTGGTAGATCACATTTCACAGCCGAAGTCTTGCTTGGAACTCTGCTATTCTCCAGTAAAACTAGAGGTTACATTTCTTAAGGAAAATTCAAACTGTTCTACACCTAATAGAAACATTATTTTAAAATATTCTAAAATCACCATTCTGCAATCATTTTGCCATTGTTTGCTGCAGTCAGTAAATAAGGGTAAAAAATAAGAGATCAAGCTCTTTAAAATCTCTTAGTTCAGGAGTGTCAAAGATACAGCCTGCAGGCCATACTGTGTGGGTGAACTCACACCCCCGGGGAGCGCTGGGGGCAGGATGATAGGTCTCCATGGGCACCACCAGACCAGCCCTGTCTACAGGGCCTGGGATGCATGCCACAGTCAGTGCCTACCTCTGACTGCCCTGGGACTTCCACTGCACATGGCAGCCTAATGTATCCAGGGTCCCGGGGGCAGCCATCACATGCAGCATGGGTCCTGAACCAACAAGGACAACTACTACACATACTGGAGCCAACATAGGGTGGGGGAGAGAGGGAAGAAGAACAGGGGGAAGCATCTGTGGCCCTGATCTAGCTTGTGGACCAGCCTCACGCCACTCATCTGGTCCATGTGGACAGATAAATTAAGGCAGGGATGTCAAACTTATTTCAAGACAGCTTCATCTATAGGAAAGGAATACTTTTTTTTGTGTGTATAAAAAAAAAAAGTGTAATTAAAGTGTACACAAAACTTACACATAAAAAGTGTACTTAAAAAGGAACAATATTAATGGAGCACAGAATGTCAGATTACGAAACATATAGCATTTTAAACACATGAAGCACCAAACACTCTTTTGCAGCTGAATGAACAAGAAAGCCAAACTCAGGTACTTGCTAACTACAGAGAAAGCTCATCGTGAGTAGCAGGCCAAAGGTATATGCATCATTTTCCTTTGTAAGAAAAAAGAAAGAGAGAAAGATATAAAGTACAATTTTGTGTAGAGAGCGCCATTTCCCCATCAGGAGTCCTATGCATTCTGCTTTTTTAGCATTTCAAGTGGTGTCACGTTGAGAACATGGTAGGATAAGTAAGCGAGCAGAAATGTTTTTAAAAAGGTAAGAGGGGAGACTTATGTAATAACAGGAGCAAAACTAGGGCATAAGGTTATTATAAAACTGTCCAATAAGGTTTTACCTTATGTACACTGAAAATGTCGAAAATATTGTTGGAAGGATACAGTTAAATCTCTGTATTTTTTCAAGTTCAGCAGCAACAGACCTGTAAAAAGATAATTTAAAATGTACTCTATATAAGGAGATACAGTTTCTCAAATATATTTTTTTAGTCAACAGTTTTTATTTCTTTATGAAGTTTCATGAATATACTTTCCTTTTATTTTTTCAAGTCAATGATATTATTCACATGGGAAATGCTAAACATGGGCAGCTGTTTATAGAATTAGGATTCTGGTCTAAGAGTCTTCCTCTACCAACGTTATCACGTGTGTGTGTGCGTGCACTGTCAATGGAGCTATAGGAAATAATACATATTTTTAAAAGACAATGTCAGCTTGAAGCCTAGTTAATTTTAAAAGATCATTTAAATGTTAAGTACTACATTAGCTCCTAAGTCTCTCTTCCATGTATTGCAGTTTTATATATTATTGCATTTTTTACGTTTAATGTTTTTCTCCTATTGCTATGTGAAAACATACACAAAAAGGGCAAAGAGGGACCGTGTAGACTTGCTACCTACTGGAGACTGGTCAGGTACAACAAAAACAAAACAGATAATTTTCACCACTAGTGTTGATAGTAATGCTGATTGCAATCCTTTAATATCAATAACCAATAATACTTCACGCAGAAGTAGGTGGTATGGAACATTACAGATTTTGTAGAGCATAAGACATTGTGCTCTGATGGCAACAAAATCAGGAGATAGTGATACAAATATCTTAGCAGTAAATTGGTAAATGAATAAAGGCATCATCCACTCTTCCCAGTACATCTGTGTAATAGTTATTAGCACCATGCTATTTGTGCACTTCCCAATCTGAGAAAGTGAGGATGCAGTTCAACAGGTTGGGGGTTTTGGCAATTTTGTCATTATGGAAATAATTGTTTTTAATATGACTGACTCTTAGCTCAGTTCCTCCGTCTCATATTTAAGCAGTCAAAATAAGGTGTTTGTAACATTTATATGCTGCTCTTGCAATAAGCATTCTAATTTCAGTACAAAAAAAGGAGAAAACAAAATAAGGAAACAAACTGGAACCAACTTCCAAGGGAGGTGGTGCTCGCTCCTACCCTGGGGGTCTTCAAGAGGCTAGATAATCACCTAGCCAGGGTTGTTTGACTCAAGCATTCTTTCCTGCCCATGGCAGGGAATCGGACTTGATGGTCTGCTCAGGTCCCTTCCGACCCTACCAACTATGAAACAATGCTTTGTGTCAATATGGTATTTTAAACTATGCAGGCAATTAAAAAAATAAAATAAAATTATGGGACATCAGAGAAAAAGGGTTGTCAACTGGAGGTACGCATACGCCTGGGGGTACTTTGAAAGGTGCCAAGAGGTACATGGGAGCAGGTGGGGATGAAGCACTGCCACCCTGTACAGCTGCCTCACAGGAGTAGCAGGGCTAGAGCAAGGTCATACAAATGAGTTTAAATTTTTCATTTCACAAAACGTCAAAAAATACATCATATAAAGTTTAGAATGTAATGTCCTGCTGATCTTTTTTAACAGCCCGAACAGTAAATAATGGTAATTAAAATTAAGTACCAGTTCTCCTCTATAATGGGGCTTGGAGCACATGTAGGAGTGCCTCTCTCTCCATTCACACTTTTACACCATGCTACTGCTGTTCTGATGTACCTAAATTAAAAGAGGAAATGGTATTTCAATCAAACAAGTATTCTGGATAGCTGATTGACAGCATTGAATAATATATCTGCAACAGGGGACAGAACATAACAGAGCCAACATCAAACATATTCTTTCATTAATTTGATAAAATCATTAAAAAAAAACACACAACAGAACCAGAGAGTGTCCAGTGAATCAATCAACCTATCTATCCACACCCTTGTTAAACATTCAAGTGCACTAAATATAAAAGGAATTTCTTTTAAAAGTTGCTTTCTGGAATAAGACTGTACTTCGTTGCTGATAGCACTTTTCAAATGATAGAAGGATGAGCAGTATTTGATAGGTAGAGAGCAACACTTAAGAAATTAAAGGATCAGATTTGATATGTTCAACTGCATGGAACAAATTCAGAGGTTGAATTCGGTATGTTCAACTTTTTAGCTTCCAAGATGCTTGACTGGCTAGGCTGTCTATAACTCCTGGTGGAGAAAGGGCTTGGGGAGTATAGTGGACCATAAACTGACTATTGCAACAGTATGCAATAGCATACTTGGTTGCATTGCATTAACAAGTGTGCTGGCTGCACATCCAGGGGGGTGATTCTTCTACTCAGCAGCAGAAGTGCTGCATCCAGTTTTGAGCACTACACTTCAAGAAACATATTTCATAGACATTAGGGCTGGGAGGGACCTTGGAAGATCATCGAATCCAGCCCCTTGCCCCAGGGGCATGAAGTCAGCAGGGATCATAGGATCCCAGCAAGATAAACATTCAAATTTCTCTTGAAGGTGTTCAAAGTAGGAGCTTGAACCACTTTCGGCGGCAGTCTATTCCTTGGGGGCTCAGACAGTAAAGAAGTTCTTCCTTATGTCCAGTCTGAAATGGTCATGGAGGAGTTTACGACCATTTGATCTTGTCATCCCCCGGGGAACGTCCACTATACTCCCCAAACCCTTTCTCTACAGGGAGTTATAGACAGCCTAGCCAGTCAGGTATCTTGAATTCTGGTATGTTCAACTTTTTAGCTTCAAGCTCTGAATTTGTTCCATGTAGCTGACAAAGCAGAAAGGGTCCAGCAAAAAACAACAAGAATGACTAGAGGTCTTGAAAATATGATGTACAAGCAAAGGTTGGAAGAACTGCGATTTTTCATTTTTCCATTAAAATAGGAAAGAACTCCTTCATTCTTCTATTAAAACATAAAAACAACAAGAATGGCAAAAATGTGAACAAAAGCCCTAACTGAAAGAAGAGCAAACATGTGAACATCCTCTACTAAAATGAAACAGTGAGCTACTTATGATTTCCATAATAAGGTTTCACTAATTAGAACAAGTAGACTGGAAAAACTGATAGGCAGAGAGAGGTCAATGTCAGTAGCAAAGCAAGTGTTATACAAAAGCTGCTTCATGGACCAGCTTTATTTGGGACAAAGATATATTTGCTTATCCATGGAATGGAAGAAATTAAATTACAAGTTACATTTCAACTTTCAGTTTCTATTTTAAAAATATTTTCAAAAGCAACTATTCATAATGATGCAAATCAGATGAAACTCATAAGTGAAAATTAACTGGCTATTGGCCTGAGGCATGCAAGCTGAAAAGCAGCCAGCCAGTCAGATACAGCCATTTTATAGACATATATTCAGCATCTTACTTTTCTTGAAACACAGATTCAAATTGAAATCCAGAATGTGTTAACTTCAAAAAGATTCAGATCACCTCTTTATACCTTTCATAGATGCCGGGATTGTTTATCTGGATTAGATGCTGTGTCCCATCACGGGTTGTTAACTTGCACAAGCCTGTAGTAGAGTCTTGATTCATCTTCAGAAGAGAAAAATGAGAACTGACATCTTGGGTTTTTTTATTTGGCTGTAGAACAGCGATAAAGTATAAGGAGCAACATCTGCTAATTTAAAATGAAACATCTGCAAAGTCTCATTTAGTATTTGTGCTTGGCTAAGGAAGAAAAATACAGTATAGTGGCACAAACACAGAAAAAGGGAACAGGAACTTCTGGTTCCAAATATGGCCCCAACTCTGATTTTTCTATGCTGTTGGAGACTACTGGAAAATGTATCCCATTCATTTCTTTTGACATTGCATGAAGATATTTCTTCTACTTGTATTTTTCTGAAAGTTAGAACCTGAGGATGGGCTGAAATCCAAATGATAGTTTGAAAAGTCATTATGTAGAAATGGCACCCCAAACAAATCTTGTTCTTCGTGTGTATTTCAAGTCATACCTGCAGCCTCTTTTTATTTTTACTTATTTATTTATACTTCCAATAAGTGCCATAGGGCAATAGAACTGAAGAAGAGCAAAATTGCTTGTCCACCTATCCCTCCAGCTGATGCTTGACATAATTTCTAAAGTGGGAAGACAGTCCAGCATGACACAATCTCCCTGCATTGCCCACTGTTTGCAGACTGGAAATAAGGCTAGAAAAAAATTGACACATTTAGCTGTAAACTGAACAGATTTACCAAATTAAAATGGAATCCCTTTCTAATGGGTTACTTTTCAGAATAGAGGAATTTTGCATATTATACTTAGGTGATAAAAGATCCCCAAAATTAGTCTGTATAATATTTTTATGTTCCTTTTTGTAAGAACATAAACAAGTGGACTTGAAATACATGTTTAGTTTAATATCCGTTATTTAAGTTGTTTATTAGACCAACTTATTTAAGTTGATGTAATAAAAGATATCAGATTCAAGGAAGTCATTCATGCCCAAGGAGGGCAAGAATGACTTCTACATCTATAACTGTCCGACTGCAGTTCACATGTCTTTTGATACCATCATAACTCGCCTGGAAAGTTACTGAGGGAGCAGTTTCTTATAAGCTGACATTATTTCCCTATACAAGTTAAGTTAGGCTACAAGTCATTCTCAGCGATCTGCTCATTTTAAAAACCAAACTATGATATCGTCTGTAAAGATAAGTAAAATTATACCTCATGCATTACTTTAATACTTTACTGAGCTATTGTGTCAGAAAACTATGTAATGATTCAAAATTATTCAGTAGTTCAAATGACTCAAACACTCAGAATTAAACATGTTTTCAAGGATAAAAGATTCAAGCAAAATGCATGTCATAATAAGCAAACATAAGTAGCAGAGCTTCTCTCATTGTTTGTACTTAGGAGACATGGGTCTTTCATTACAGGCTAAAGGAGATTTTTCCTTTCAAGCCCATAGTTAACACATTAGCAATATGTCAACATGTATACATATACAAATATTGGCAACTAAAGATAGACCAGATTTTCAAACAGATGAAATATTTACAAACGAGCTTGAGTGCATGAATCATCAGATATAATGAACATGACTTACAAGGGTCCCCAAACAGCCCAATTTCTGTTTTACATGCATCGGATCTTTTCTTTGGACTTCTGACTTATTGCCCAAATGAAAAGTTTTTAAAACGGCTATTTCAAGGCCCCAATCCCAAAGCAAATATTATACAAAGTCTGCTTCATGGCCCAGCTTTACTTGGGACAAAGATACGTTTGCTTATCCACAGAATGGAAGAAATTAAATGAAAAATTGAATTTCTAATTTCAGTTTCCAAAGATTACCTGTGTTTTTCCATAACAAAAGTTAAAATCCCACATCATAGTCAAGGTCATCCCATCACAAAAAACAGCATGCACTTTATTATCCGAATATGCCACCAGTCTTCCTACATTGGGAATAACTGCTTCATCCAACAAAACTGGCAAGGTTTCCCATCCCTCGGTCTTTCGTATCTAGTATGAAACAAACATGAGAATACTTTAGATGCAATAGCTTGTGCCATTTGTTTAGCTCTTACCCAGACTCTTAAGCAGCAGCTAATTCACCAGACCTCTAACAACCTTCCTGCCTGATTTCTCTCTCCTTCACAAATATGCCCTCTCAGAGGACTGGTTAAGCAAGCTGCCCAACCAATTAGTCCTCGGTATTCGTTCATTTACTTTCACCTCTCCTCCCTATGGTTTCTGCTTCTTTTAGTCCATTAAATCCATGGCAACCATTCAAATGAGCATATTAAAAAGCATAATGTTACATACCATATTCCAACAACAGCTACTGTAGTTATGTATTAAAGAAAGTTTAGTCTTGTAGCAGTACTGAAGAATTCTGTGAAGAAAAATAAAGCAACTACACTTCACTGTATAATCACATACTGTAAATCAATTGAGTTAGGTGTTCTTACGGTCTTTATACAGTAATTTTCTATTCTTATACATGTCACCAGTAGTACAGACATGAATTACTTAACTTTCTACTTTAAGCAAGTATAAGAAATTAAACTGGAGTGACAATTATCATTTTGTAACCTTTGTTCCTGAATGCCACTTCAAAGGGCAAGAACAAAAATAAAACAAACAGTTCACCTGGTTGCCTGCGTAATGATGGAGTTTATAGAATATGGACTTCCTGGTACATCAGGGGGCAGATTGCTTACTGAATACATCTTTTCTTCTCTCTACAGATCATAAAGCAGAAAGGAGAGCAGTTATTTTTAGAAGCCACATTAATAAAACAATAGTTTAAATAGATATGCGGCAGACTACAAATCACAAAACAATTATGAACCCTCTGGTGTTGCTTCTTTCACTGCTTTGAATTCCTAAATTATCTCAAGTTGGTGCAGTATTGCAGGAAAGTCATTTTGCCTCATAAACATGTTACATAAACTGTCAAAGCAAGGAACAGAGTTAAAGAATGATTAACATGGAACCAAAATCTTTAAGCAAAGAGGTAACTTGTCTACAGATCACCGAAAAAAGCTATGCTCATGGAATAAGGTTGCCAGCTGAATTTGAATAGTATTTTTCTTTTTCGTGACTGTGCAAGGTAAAGGACATTGCTATCAATGCATCAACAAACAACATTATTATGGTCATTACCATAGTAACCCAAAGCCAAGGAATTTATTAGACCATTGAATCTTTTCCCCAGTGTTAAAAGATGTTCTGATCAGAGCATATAAGAGAAAAATAAACAACTGTTTCCATGGCCATGTCTTTAGGTACTTCTGAAACATGAACCTGATCTTATCCATAGCAGTCTTTTCCATCTTATCCACAGGATATCCTCTGCCTCTAATCTTTACGTACCCCTCCTGGTACATACCTATCTGTGCTGCTAGGCCCCAGTTACTACTTACTTTCTAAGGGGAAGTCAATGGTTTGTGCTAAAACTTGTGTATCTGGCTTCAGCATTGCCAAGATTCTTCTAGTACCTGCTAAGGAGCCTGAATCCCTCAGAACAGTAATTTTTAATCAGAGTGCTGCAGTACTCTGGGGTACTATTAGATTTTTTTTTGAGGGTGCTGCAGGGTGCCACACAATACTATTACTGTTAGGTGCTCAAACACGATTCACTTGAGAAACCCAGAGATTTCAAAAAGGAATCTGGAGTGTCAATAACATCTTGACCTGTTGTGGTCTGAGTTCTCTGCAACAGAATTGCTCTATTTTTTTGTAGTCAAAAAACGAGTGAAAGGTAGGAGCTGGCATTTTCCAAGGGGTAGCTCAAGTCTAAAAAACGTTGAGAACCACTACCTCAGGCACATACCCCCACAGGGACTATATAGGTAGCTTTTTCAAGATGAATGATTAGTCAACCAGAATACAGTACTCGGGGATCTTTGATCAGAAAATGGTCAAAGCCTGCACATTTGCATGTTTGCAGCACAACTTCTCTCCTTCCTAAATGTCCTGGATTGCCTTTTGTAACACTGGACAGCAAAACTTATCTAACTTCTCAGTACTTTGTCATGTGCTGAAAGTTCTCCTGCCTTATTCATAAGTGATGAAAATACATAAGTGATGAAAGGCTTCAAAAAACCTAATATACAAAATATTGGTGTAATCCAGATTACTATGATAGGGTATGCAATAGGACTCTCCATGTTACATTATCAGTTTCTTAAAGCAAAAGATGTTGCTATCCTCAAATGCAGTATTAAAAAATGACAGTTTAAAAAAATTATTTTATTCCTACCTGTCTTGATCCTTTCTGAACTGAATAGTGTGTGAAATAGTTTCCCAGTAATGTTCCTTGTGACTTGAAAACTGATCCATCTCCAGGATAAATTTCTATGATGTCTGTACTATCTTGGATAAACCTAAGAGAGAGAGAGAGAGAGAGAGAGAGAGAGAGAAAGAGATGGACAGATGTTCTGTCAGCATACAGGTACTGTATACTAAAATTACAAGAACTTTGGTGAAAGAACATATTCCATGAAAACTTCCACATGAAAAGTTGTCCTTTCATGGGTGGTTAACCTACGGCTCAAGGGCTGGATCTGGCCTGTGGACATGGGGCTTTTGCAGCATTAAGTGGCAGGAGGGGGGTCTTCTATGGACCCCCCTCCCCATGCTGCTACGGGGACAAGTGGTGGCAGCAGCAAGGTCCTAGCATCCACCACCTCCAATCCAATGCACGTCATTCCGGCCAATAGCCGGTAAAGGTTCCATGGCTCTGTTCTGTACAGTAGAATTTATTAATTGCTTTCAATTCTCAATTAAAAAAAAAGATTAGTATTAATACATGTACAAAAATGGAGAGAAAGCCTTTTACAGTTTCTTGCATCTGAAATAGCTACCAAAACAAACAAACAAAACACAGAATTCATCCAAAGACATTAGAGCCAAATGCAGTAATAACAAATGTCAACATTTGTGGACAGTTCTAACTGAAACCCACAAATGAGACTCAGAATTAGCTTTCCCTTTCCCCTGCACATAGGTATTTCAATAAGATACTGGGTTTTTCATTACACGATCATATAACACTAGGTGTCTATGATCAACTAAAGGCCCAGTTTAGTAACTCATTCTGTGTAGACCAGGGGGCAGAGATCTTTTACAAGCCATTAGCAGAAACAACTTGGCTTTAATCCACCACAGACCCAGCAGTTCTGGCAGTATGCCAGTGGTGGGGGGCCTTCCCTGCACCCTCGCTGGGGCCCTGCAGGTGGGAACTGCACCTGCAGCTTTCAGGAAGTGGGGAGCTGAGCTGGGGAGAGGTACCTGTAAACTACATCCATGCTGTCACTGCTTCTCCCCTCCCTCTCCCCGGCCAGCTGCAACGTGGGCACAGCTCTCCACAGTTTAGGAGCTACACTCACATTGCAGCTGGAGAGCAGGGGGTTGGAAGAAGTGGCAACAGCTAAATGCAGTTTACCAATGCCTGGCCCTGGCACAGCTCCCCACAGGCTTAGTTATGTCTGCTCTGCAGCCAGGGAACGGGCTCCCAGCTGCCTGGCCCCAGTGCGGGTGCAGACAAAGCCTCCCTGCTACTGACATGCTGCCAAAACTACTTGGTCTGTCAGAGTGGAGCAATGAGGGTGGGGAGAAGCAGCTGTTGTGCGGGTGCAGTTTGGAACTGCTCTGATCAAGCACACTCCTGCCAGGCCTGGATGCAGGCACAGGCAAAGCCTCCCAGCTCTGCAGGCTGGATCAAGCGGCTCCACAAGCCAGGTCCAGTCTGCAGGTCATGTTGCTGACCTCTGATATAGAGCCCCATGTCTGCGCAAGCAACCCTCCCTAATGATGTCAACGAGGTTTTGTGGAAACATGGGAGACAGATTCACATGGACTGCATTGTAGGGCCAAGGCCTAAACAATCAAAAATATTCTGAACAGAATATTAACTAGTTTCTCAGAAAGTAGAATAGAGTCTTGGATCAGGACATTTCATCTTTATGATTAAATTTCCATACAAACACACTTTTCCAAAAAGGAACAGATTATCTATTACTCCTACCTATAAAGAATACCTTGGCACCAAACAATGTTTATTAGTTGAGGGTATGAACATGGCTCAGTATTTTTCCCTTTCTGTAGAAAAAAGTCACAGAAAATCCACCTGGGCAAAACAAAACAAACAAACAAAATCAAAAACAAGTTACAGTAAGTTTGTAGTTTATTAGTATTACTGATTTCTAATTCTAGTATTCTATGCTATAAAAAGAAACTTTAAATAGTTTGCTTACTTCATTACAAAATACCAAACATGAAATAGCCAAGTTAAAAATCAGTTCATGTTCAGGAACTGTAATATGGACAAGTTCTGAGAATAATCCTGGTAGGTAAGAAGTTCTCTTTAAAAACAGGTGTCTTAGTCAACTGGTTTGAGAGAAAAATATATGAACCTTATGATCCTTAAGTTTTTGTCACCTAGGTAATGCAGCAGTTTATTAACATTTAGTATTGACTTTTTAAAAAGTTATACGCTTCCTTTCTCCTTTCATCCTTTGCTATAAATAGCCTACCAGAGAAGATATCTGCATATGAATACAAACATACACCTACACACCCAGTCCACTATTCCTCTTCCACTTTCTCAAAGTGCACAATATTGGAGAAGACATGTCTTGACACACTTTCGAAGCTTCATTTCCTTAAAAAAGTTGTACTTACTTTTCCACTATTCTCATTTTCACTTCTATAATTGTGCAAGCAGACTCTCTCTATTACATATTAAAGATCAACATTTGTCTTTGGATTATTTTAGACTAGTCTATGTAATGCTGGTCTTACAAATGCCACATTTCATGAAGTCTGTAATAAGATTCCATATTTTAGTTTTAATATATATTTCTGATGGTTGGGATTCATTTATCATTCAGTTAGGGATATTACTGAAGAAGCAGATATTCAGGTCTGAGAAGCGGCAAAACATTGCTAAAACTAAAAGCAAATACGTGACACAGTTACCTATGTAGGTGCGGTGCAGTACAGCTGAGTGGTAAAGCTTCAGGCAAATGAGAAATTGCCTTGCTGTTTTCACTTTCCTTTAAAAGCTCAGATTCTACAGTTTTGTTCTGAGAGTATTTGTCTTGCTCATGCGTTTTAGATGGGAGGCTATCAGCACGCAGCCGATAAAATGTTAATGCCAAAGACAAAGGGTATTTCCACTCTTCTGGGTATGAGGAAACAGACCAGTGCTGTGTAACCCAGACATAGTCAGAGGAACAGCTTGTCAGAGATAAATTGGCCTCATCTCCTCCTTCTGTTTGGTTTAAGTAGTTCTTTGATTGGGCTGGTTTCCTGGATTTGTTTACAATACTGCATTCATCTTTCTTATTCTCCAATCTCAGCTGTTCTAACATTTCTTGCTGATCTTTTTTGCTGTTTTTTTCAGAGAAAAGCGAAGATTTTGCAGGCTTCTGACTAGCTTTGCACAAGAACTCCACTGTAAAATCTTCCTGCAATTCTGACATGTAGAGGTGGGCATGACCATCTAAGGAGGATATCTTCACACTCCCATTATCCAGACATATGACTGCATCAAGAGAGTTAGGGCTAGGCCATCTGACTTCCAAGACATCTGTCAAAAGAACCTAAGAAATGGAAAAGGAACAGCAGAATAGATTGCAAAGTAATATTTAACTGAGATGATCTTCTTTAAGCAGAGTGTTTATTTTTAAGTGAACTCCGAGCTTTGGAAAAAGCGAAGTGTGAGGCTTCCTATTTATCCAGAAAAATAGGGTAGCAGAAAAGTTTAGATACCCAACTTCACTTCTCAGGCCTGCCTCTCCTTGTTCAAACAGAATCATCTCTGATGGTAAGGAAACAGCTTAGTTACCCTGCTAAATGGATTCTCATCCTCCACACACAGACAATGAAAGATGTGTAACAGCTACAGTGGGTTAGTTATGTGGATGCCTAAACATTCAAGTATATCCAAGTACATTTTATTGCTTCAGCTTTCATTCTTGTACAACTTTTTCTATCATGCCTATCTTTATGATACCTTGTGGTGTCATTTTATAACGAACTCCAAGTGTGCAAATTCATCAACCACTGTCTATCCTATAATTGGATAAACTCTGGAAGGCTAAAAGCCCTGCTTGCATAATGTCCTGCTCCCAAATCAGGGGAGTTCAATCTTAAAGATGCCCATTTTCTGTATCTATTGGTAGGGTACCCAATCATTTCTGAATACTGTCCTCAGCTGAGGATCCAGATGAAACACTGGATCCAAAAGGAATAAGACACTGCAAAATACCTGCAACAAAGGGTGAAAATCCAGTACAAAAAGTTGTTCAGTTTCCGTAAAGTAAACCTCAGAGAAACATTAGCTATGGAAAACATACCTGTTTCCTTTCAGGAGGCAGGATGTGCGAGGGTAAATACGGACGAGCGGAATACCGGTTCCGAAAATCTAATGCTTGTAAGAGTTGCTCCTGATTGAGGGGGAGGGGGAAGGGAATACAAGACGCATCATGAAATTGACTGCACAGTGAGAACGTTTTACCAGGTTTCAAATCCTCTTGTTTTGGTTTCCGATTGAGAAACCAGGATCATTTGTCCACAGACAAACCAAAAATCCCATTAAAATCTTTCCACAACAGGGAGACACCAACCATGCAAATTAGAAACCTACCCCATGACCTCTAGGTGCCACAAGTCTAGCTAGTTAGCTCTGGACACTGGCAGATCATTTGATATTTCTATGAACCTTAATTAGAACAAGCTCCTTGTGCAACTCAGCATGCCTCCACACATCTCCCACGTCCCCTCTCCTTCTACTGGTGCTCAGCTAGGAGGTAGCCTAGAGCAGGGGAGTTAAATTCATCTAGTAAGAACGGCCATTGACTGGGTCTTGGCCAGTGTCCTGTGGCAGTCCGTGGCAGAGGGCTCCATCAAACTGGCTGACTGTTTTTAGCCACAGGCAGAACAAGGAGGGTGCCCCACACACCAGATGAGTGGTACGAGGCAAGTCCACGGGCCAGAGGAATGGCACGTGGCTGGCTGCATCAGGCCCACAGATCCCCTTTGCCCTGCTGGCCCTGGCCAGTCCAGGACTCATGCTGCCCCTACCCTGGAGGACAGGCAGGGATGCTGTGTACAGCGCAGGTCCTGGACAAGCTGGCACATGCAGCAGGTCCTCGTGTGGCCCGAGGGCAGGCATCCCTAGCGGTGCCATCTGGGTGCTGTGAATGCTGCCCGTGGCTAAAAGCAGGCAACTGGTCTGATGCAGCAGGAGGCCATGCCCCAGGTTTACCCTCCGAACCTAGACAGGGTACAACCCTAGTGCTTCAGCATGTGGGCCACATCTATGGCAGTCAGTCATGGTCTTGCGCCTGGCGTTTCGCCGACCACTTCTAACCGCTGGTTCCCGCCCGCCCCCTCAGAGAAGAGGCCGCCGACCCACTCCACGAGCCAGGGGCGGGTGGGCCCCTCCCCCAGCACCTCCCCAGGGCGCGCTGGCTCTGCGGCCTGACCCCCGAGGCGCCCTGCCACCAGGCTGGCTGCTCCCCA